AGAGGTTTGATATGAAATAAATATAGATTTGTAATGGTTTCGAAGTCATAATTTCTCCACATTGGAGTTCAATGGTTTTAAATTTGCAATATAATTGGTGTTATATTGAATAAAGTCTCTTTTATTAGATAAAAGATTAGAAAATGCCATTGACCATTATATTTTCTGTATATTCAAATGTGTCTCTAACCATACACAATTTGCTTGAAAAATTCAAATGCGAAGCATATTGTGCAGATATGGTGAGTGTGTGGTTTAATTATTGGTGAATTAGAGAACCAGTTTGACACAAAAAGAAGCAATAATCACGAATAATTGTATGTTGTGTGATATGCAATGCGAATCTATAAGATAAAAACCACTTTCTTTGCTGTGTTTTGAGGTCTACAAATGACGGCATCGTAAGTGCCACCGTATGTGGGGTAAATGGTTGTTTTCTCGATGGAAAAAATACCCATTTTCAGATGAGATCCCATCAATATGGTGTTTGTATACGTACTGCTGCCATTTGCATCACTTCTAAATTGTAAATTTTAGGTGTTTTCCTCCGATGCCATAGAGCTCAAGAGATGAATAAGCTTCATAAAAGATGGTTTATGTTCTTATTTTCTTTTGCTTTCCCTTCAAAAGTAATATATTTTTTTTGTACATCTTGTCAAAACCACATTGGCGATTGTGTTGTGAAAGTGAGGATGAAATGCTATAGGATGAAATGGATGTGTATGAGTGTGTGTGTGTGTGTGTGGAGAAGAAAAAGGAGAAAGAGAAAAAAACATGTTGATGGTCAGAATCGCGAAAGTGGAGAGAAATAGAGAAATGAGAATTTCATAATTGGCGGGATCTCTTAACGAAAAAATGTGGATGTAAAGTAATTTTCGTAGGCATTTTTCTTCGTTTCTTTCATCGTTGAGTGAAAGATGTTCCTTTTCCTTCCTGGCAGAGAGACGGGCGTTAAGAATATTTTGTAATTAATGACAATGTATTGTAATAGGAGGAAATTTATTTTATGAATATCAAGTGGAAATTAAGCATCCTATATAATATCTTTCATTGTGATTTAGGGTGTGATGCAAGAGGAAGAGAGCGAGAGAAAATTGTGGGAATGACAATTATTAAAGGAAAAACTGCGAGCTTTGCAGTCTTTGGGATGAGTTGATATTATTGTGCATTGATGATAAATGGCGAGATGGAAGAAAAACTGTGAGCAGACGAGACTGAGCCTCGACTGTTTTCTCTCTTTGGCGATAAGTCAAAGGTTTACAAGCTCCCTCACATATCAGAAAGAATGAAATATTGTGCAGACAGAAGACAAGAGAGTGGCAAAATGCACAGTAATTGTAGAATCCCACGCAATTTCTTGCTATATCTGGCATGAAAAGTGCAATGAATCACATATTTTTTTCGTCTCTTGGCGCCTTTTATGTCTGTTTCTTTTACTAATACTTTTGAGTATCCTTTTAGATGTTTTTCTGTACTTTCGTGCTTGTTTAGAATGGCGGAGAGATTTTAAAACACATATTTTGAAGTTAATATTAAATTATGGGCAAATGAACAATGAAAATATTGTTCGTGTTGCCATTTAGATATGAGAGTGAATTTAATTGAATTTTACTATCTTGATGAAATTTATATCTCTTGATCACAAATAGTTTTATTGCGTCAAGTGTGTTTGCTACTTAATTTAGTTTGTGTGAAACAAATCGCTTTTATATGCGGAAGAAGAGATTATGATGGGAAATCAAAAGCAAAACACCATTCTTTTTCTAAAAGAAAAATGCCATAAAATATGTAGTGATAACATGTAACATGAATGTGTGTTTTTTTTTCTTCTCCGTCACAAAACTGAGTCGCACTTGTGAGACTTTCTATTTATATGTTTAGTTTAGATTGCGCTATATTTCAAGAGCGCGCTGTCGTGGATGATATTTGATGTTATGGTGAAGTGAAGAGTCTTATGTGTGATGTGACGTCAATTGATTGAGAGTTGAGAATCAATTTTTGATGTTACATGTGTGACCCGCGGTGTGGATATTGTGTGGCGGAAAAAGCTGAACTGTGACGTTCATAATGGAACTACAATATTTTGCGTAAAGCAAATAGTTTTGTACACCACTGCTGATTCATTCATATGACGTAGACACATATTCATTCATAATGGACGAGAAAGAGAGTTTTCCAACATTGACTTTTATTGTTTAACATTGGGCGTTGAGGTAGTCTCTGGCGCTGTACAGTCGGTGAGACACTCGGGGATCATTGTTCGCTGTACAAAACGCAATCGTGTGAAATTATTCGTGAATCATATAGGTTAAAAAATAGTAGAAAAATAAGAGTAATTCACCGAAATACGTAATGATGATAATTGGCCGATCGTCTCGCGTTAGGCAAACATTCGAAGGAGGCATGACAGACGCGATGTAGAATCTCTACTCCGCAGAAATAGTCAGCTAAAGGCAGACATGTGCGCGATGATTCACTATCATGTGGAGGTTTCCCCGATTTTTGCAGCGCCGAGAGAATTTGACATGAGAAAGGCAAACACACTCACACACACCTTGTTCAATGCACCAGGTGTATTTGGTAAATATGCAGTGTTGATTGGACGAGGAAAATGCGCTGATGAATGGAGATATACATGGAAGTTTGACCGTCGTGGCACATAAAAAAGGGGGGAGGGAAAAGAGGCGAAAATGCAATTGGCGTCCTGGTCGCGTGAGGAACTGAATGCCATTGAAATAATAATCAATGTCACGCCAATCATTGTGGCGCACGAAGAGAGTTGAAAGAGGGTCACGAATGTCCGGCACCTTAAAATTATTATTATTATTCTCCATCGTTTCACTTTTTGACTCTTGAGACGATTGCCTTTGCCTTGCCTTCCAATTAGCAACTGAATGAACTCTCGACTAATTTGCAACTGGAAATTAATATATCGTTTGAAACACCTAATCTGCACATTGAATTTTAATGGCCCCAAAGTTGTTTGAAACTCGATCGAGCTTCACTTTCACCATCAAGAAAGTTTCTGAACGTGAATATTATTAACATTTTACTGATGGTCTTTTATTGTTGCTGGCGCAGTATTTGATATTCTCTCTTGTTGACCACGAGATTGTGAGATTTCTTTCAACGTTTACACTTCTCGTGAAATGATTAAGTGACTTTGAAAGGAAGTCCATTACATTGTATAGTGGCGAAGAATAAATGAAATAGAAAGTGAAGTGCAAATATCCTGCTGTCGCGATGATTATATTTATATTTGAGATTATATTTAAAAGCAAACAGTTCAGTATTATAAATAAGTTTGATAGTCAATTTCAGATTTTCCATATCTACTGATTATACATACCAGCTTCATATCTATTCAGTGCACATATAAATCTGTCAAAATCGTGCATAAATAAACTTTTTTTTTGTCTAAACTACTTTTATATCTCTCATGATAAGTGATATCAATGGTAAATGTTTTGGTAATAAATGTGTACCATCATAAATTAGATGAAATTCGAATGGAACATGAGATTAGAATTGATGTGTCTGAAATGAAAGTCGCATGTGAGACGGTTGAAAGTCAATAAACTACTAAATTTCTATGCATAGAGTCTGCAAAACTCATAACATTACTTGTGTGATACGCTAAAAAAAACACTCACACACAGTTTATTTGCACAAAGCAACGCATCTTGACATTCACGTGACTCTCGACTGAACTACATTTATCTCAAAATGTTATTTGAGCCAGCACAAGTCGACATGCATGTACATTACATACATATTTCTGCTTTTTTCTTTGTCGAAACTTTTGACAGTTCAATGCAACTTTTACATTCCATGTTTCTTTTATATTTTGAGTAACAAATCAGTGGATGGGTCTCATGTGGATTTACCGCGAATGGTTGCAAAGTTTTCTGATGAAAAGTTTAACCATGTTTGGCAAAGTTGCGGGAATTAAAGTTGTTGTTCTTCTTTGTCTTCCTCAATAGTAAATGAGTGACGGAACTGTGCGCAAATGGGCGACACTCATCTTGGGTGAATAATGGGAAATTCTGCAGTTGACACACGGTGGATTTATTCACGGTGTAAATAATTATCACACATGGATTTCAGTGATAAAATTAGAATGGTTTGGAGTGTGTGATGCATGTTTCCCGCTAGTATTTCACTGATGACTGAAAGGAGTGGCGGAGTAGAGAGAGGAGATGCAGAATGTGGTTGGGAAAAGAACAAAGATGCTGCGTGTGTGGGTGGAAGAACATGAATGGTTGACATTGAAGAAAATATACACAACATGATATTTTAATTGTAGAGTCTTCTAACTGGTGGTCAGGTCATGGTTTGTTGATTACCAAAGCCATTCTCTTGGGACGTTCTGTGCAATCTCTCGTGATTCTCTCTGGGTTGGTTGGAAGACACACACATGCACTTTATAGACGGCTAAAATGATGACATGAAACACTTTTCAGGTGACATTGAGACTGTGAGACATTGTTTATGAGGTCTTTTTCTGCACTGCACACGTTCAACACTGAAAAGGGATTGCTCTATGGTTCTACATATTCTATGCTGTATGAGAGAAAAAGGAGGACTCTTGGTGAGGTGCCAAGCATTTCGTGGCATGAAAGAGTTGTGAGGTGGAGGTTTTTGCCAAATTTGGCAAATGTAGAGGAATTTCTATTATATCAACAGTAAGGGAAAAGTAAATAGGGCCGGTTGAAGCTTTCAGGACATTTTGATGTAACGTTACTGAATTACAGCTTGTAAAATTATAGAAGGGAAGAGGAAAGGATGTTTTAATTCAATCCTATGTTATTTAATCTCATTAATCTTGAGATTTTTCATCAAATTTCCCAATTGTGTGTGTTTATTTGACAGTCAGTGTGTCTGAACACTTGTCTGGGTTCAATTAATTGCATCCAATTTTGGGCCAAATGAAATCACATGCTCGACTCGCAATAGAGCCAAGGTTCCTAATTGAATTACACGCTCTTCTTCACTTGCAGATTATGCTCCTTGACAATAACACGCTTGTCTCTCCTGTCACCGCTTCCAGTGGACTTGTCCTCTGTGTCGCTGGCCGTGAAAATGCAGAGCTCCAAGAGGACACTGCGATCTCATGAGATACCCGTGCCACAGTCTGTGCTAACGGCAAACGCCAGCGGCGCCGTGCTCAATAGTCCGCCACTGCTGGAGACGGAATTGGACTTGAACTTCAGTCTTCAGTATCCGCACTTTATCAAGCGCGACGGGAATCGCTTGCTGATTCTGCTGCAGCGTCGCAAGAAGTACAAGACGCGCACGATTTTGGGGTACAAGACGCTGGCTGAGGGCATGATAAGGATGGACGCCGTGCTGCAGAAGTCCATGGACATGACGGTGGAGCTGAGTGCCACGGGAAAGGGCAGTCGACCCGGTGTGACATTGGCCACACTTCGAGCGGAGCGAGTATCTTCCATTCCTGTTGATCATGACAATAAGAATAATAATAGTGTACTGCTGACGGGTAATTTGAGTTCTCTTCCGCCAATTATTCTTGATGAAGATGATGGTGAAATGATGAATATGTCTCTGTCTTTTCCCACCTTAGATCGTGTGAATGAATACTCAGATGAGGATGAGGAGGGTGAATTCAGCTCGGGCGAGGAGAATGACGATCCCGGCGACGGTGTGCTGAGTGGATACGACGCCAAGCGGGGATATGCTAAGAGGGGGAGCAATTATAGGAAATTGGAAAGGTCGGAGAATGATGCTGAGACCGAGGATGCACCTATAGGTCAAAATCCCGGTGATAGTGACAGTGAATTTGAGAATCTTGGCAAGGATAAAGGAAATCGTGCCAAAATGAGTCGTGTAAGTTATTCATGGGATTACGCTTCTCACTTCTGTGTCTCTTCTCTCCTCCTCTATCACACTATGCTAATTTGCGCAAAGCTTTTGCTAAAAGATGCCACCGCGCGCCATCAGAGGATGAAAAAAAGAAAAGAAATGAAAGAGCAAGAAAAAGGCGAGAGAGAAGAGGGAAATATTGTCATGATAACTGTCGGGAAGATAGCTTATCTTCAATTTATCCATTTTCTCCTTGAGTTATGTCTTTTTTATTTTCTCTTGTTTTCTTTTTGTGTATTTAAAGAAATTATTTTTAAATGAAAAACTCCAAAAATATGCCCGGATGGACTTTTTTCGGCCGTCTGCCGGGAAAGCATCGCACTATGAGCAGACAGGCAGCTTTCCGGACACCACAGAGAAGATTTTAATGGTGATTTGCATAAGTTAAATGTAAATTTATATATTGTTTCTATTCGTGATGTTTTCACACCTGAAAAAAATACAAATAATTGTGGTGGGACACTTAATGTGAAAACACACACACACAATTTGCGATGGACGAGAAATACTTTTCAACAACAGCAAAAAGAAAAAGAAAAATTGAAAAATCTGTGCAAGGAACAAATTTAATATACTAATTTCGCACTTCAATAGAATGCTTGATTTTCCACTAGATTTTCTGGCAACCACTTCGTTTTGTTTGTTTATGAAACTATCGTAAAAGTTTGTTTGCACTGCATAAGACGACGGAAATTTGCTTACTGGTATTCTTTGTGTGCCTTTGCAGCAGCGCAACTTTAAGCAGAAAATTGTGGCTCTGCTGAAGCGCTTCAAAGTTCCTGAGGAGCTTGATGGTGGCGTGTCACGACATTCTGGCCGTGGTGAGCGTGTACTGGATGCACTTTATCAGGAATTGGAGTCACTATCGTGTGGCGAAGGTGATGAATCAGGACCAGATATGGACACTGTGTCCGTGGGCTCAACGCCGAAACCATCTTTGCGACCTTTCTTCACGAATTCAAGAACAATGCTTCATGAAAATTTGATGGGTGAGTTCATTTGGCCTTTCTTTCAACAACACAGCGACGAAGTGTGCGGTGTCTTTCCCAGGACTTCTTCCCGATTACCTTTTTTATCTTCTCACATTTCCCCGCCTCCCCCTAAAAAAGACCCAATTCAAGATTGGGGAAGAAAAAAACATGTAAACCCTAAATATAGATGACACGTGTTCGTTTTTTTTATCCTTCTCATACGCATCAATATACAATTTCCCAATTTATTGTGTTGCTCTTTCGAAGACAGAGTTGATGGGATTTTAGATAAGGTTGATTGTGTTTAACTCTATATAATCATTTAATGTTGACAAACTGCCGAGGAAAATATTGGAAGAATGCTCAAGAAATGATAAGAAATGTCTATTTATACTTGATTTGTCTAGAACTTTATCTAGTTCTCTCCCAATTCTGTCTAAGGCTGAATAAATAGAAAAGAAATTGTGATGTTGAAAAGGTGAATTTGCCTAGGATGAGAATCACACCGGTGATTTCTGAGCATTCAATCAGTACAAATACATAGTCAGGCAATTTACTAAGGGCAGGAGTAAAGAAATTGAATCACATTTAACTTCATTGAAGGTCAAGATAGGGAAGTTTACAATTTGGAGGTGAATTTCAAAAGTCAAAAAAGAGAGAGAATAGAAACATTTCCATGTTGTAATGAGAAAAGAAATTGAGAAATATGTTTGCATGCTATCAACTATGCCAAGAGTTTAATTTATATATTTCTCTTCCCATATTGTTGAGTTTCGTGTTGTTGTTTTGTTGGTTGCAGAGTAATCATGTATGTTGGTGACATAATTGAGTTCTTGAGCAGGAGTTAGAGAAAAGAAGAAAAAGCGACAGAAGTTTTTCCTTTTTTTGTTTGTTGATTCTCTAATTCAGAAATGTTGTGTCTTAATTTCGTAATAAGCGCACTCGCCTGCATGCATATTAAAAATTGTAATTACAGAGAGGCATTTTTGTGTTGTTACGCTGTGTGCGTGTGTGTTTGAGATGAGAGAGTTTGGACAGGATGACGAGGAAAGGTTGATATTTAGAGATATTTGAGAGGAAAGATATTTGTGCTATTTTATTAACAAATGAAATGATGATATTATTATGAGTTTACGTGCATGGCTTGATAATTCTTTTTGCAGGCGACTTTAATAGTGACATGAAGATGCGACTGGAGAAGAGGGACTCCTTCAATGCCCCGTCACTACCACTCGATAAGAAAAATTCCATTCCAGGAGCAGGTCTGTTTTTATAATCCAAATGACACTCCCAGTCACACACACAGACACCATAGAATCCTTTAAGAAACTCTTAATAATGAGAAAGCAAAAAGACTTGTTATTGCATTTACTTGGTGTTTTACAATTGAATTAATGACGTTATTTCCATGTGGCTTTTGCTTTTGACTTACACGTTATCTTTATTACACTCTTTTTTTTTAACTGTTTTCAAGTGCTCTTCTCTCTTTCTTTTCCTTTATGAAAAATATGTATAAATAGCAAATCTCCTATATTAGAACTGCAAAAAGAGATTAAGTGAAGCGTTCTATTGAGATGAAGAAAATGATATCAGAGTCTCTTTACTGAATATATATCGATATTGTACCTTCTTCTACTTGAATTTCCTTCTTCGAGATTCTCAATCATGATATATTATATTCTCTTTATGTAACTTGTGAGATGTTCGGTGAAAGAGAGAGATTGTCAGTCATGAGCCTAATCGGAAACATTATTTCTCTCTCTTTTCACCATCCTTCCTTCCGCCTGATGCTTGCACACGGGGTGTTTTCTTGCGGTGGCGCAGCCGAGAGGAGCGGAGATTGGCGAAATGACAGCTCGGGGAATGAGGGTGGCGCAGGCAATACGGATCCCGAGGCGCCCAATTCTGATCCGCAGAACACTGGCTCACCGCCACGGAGTGGCGACAAGGAGAGTGCCACGGATAGACGGAGTCGACTCTTCCGCGCGGCCAGTGGTCAGCCGTCGAGTTCAAAGAAGAAGCACTCATTGAGTCTGGGATCGGAACAGAGTCAGCCCAAGTCAGCCCTGGACGCGTGTCTGTCGCCGACGAATGTGGAGCCGCGGAAGTCGCTGCTGGATCAAGTGGCGCGCACTTTTGCCACCGATGAGGCCATTCTGCCGGATGTGGTGTCTCTCGTGGGACCGCCAGAGCTTCACCACGTGGCTCTGTCATCGCGGCTGGCGCCACTGTTGGCGGCCTCCTTCAGACCCACCTTTGCGCCGCACAATACGGCCGAGGTGCGAGCGGTGATGCAGGCGCTGATGAACAAGATCCAGAAGTACTGCAACTCCACGGCCAAGCCGCCCACCACCATTAAGGTGCTCCTCCTGGGTGGCGACTGGCTGCAGGGCGCCGTGCTGCGTCACTATGTGGAGCTGCTGGGCGTGCGGCCACCCGACTGGGTGAATCACATCCGCTTCTACATTGTTCCTATTGGAAGCAGTGCCATATCGCGGTATCTCAGCGCCGTGGACGCCACGTATGGCGCCATGTTCGGCAGCGATGGTTGGCAGCAGCTCTGTGAGCGTGCCATCGGTCCGGATCCCGCACAGTCGAAGATTGACGTGATCGAGGTGACCAACAGGGTGCAGAGATATCTGCACAGCGCCGGGCCGTGCACGCAAATCCCCATCGCCGAGGCCATGGTCAACTACAAGGAGGAGGACTCGTGCCAGATCTTCGTTCCATTCGTCAGTGTGAGTACTTTGCAGTCAGCAATTCAATTTAAATCATTCACAAATCGTATAAGATAAATCCCTGAATCCAATTGATAAATAATAATGAGCTTAAATACTAATTGCTTAATGTTATTAACGTATCTTAACAGATAGACAGAATAATTAAGTGGATTAAATGTAGTTGTTTATTGTTAGAGACATTGAAAACTTCCGTTTTTCTTCGCAAAATGTCTCAAAATGTATTTAAGTAGTCATTAATAGTATAACAAATACAATATTTCTAGTCATACTCACTTTCCTAAGTCCCTGGCATGTTCAGTGGTGCTGTTTTAAACTGATTTTATTATCGAATTTAAATTGCGTGCTATCCTGTAATCCGTGCTCGGCTTATAAACCAACAAAATGAACATGTATTATGTCATATCCAGTGAGAATTCTGTGGTTTTTCACACATTATTCTGCTCACCACCGAGAAAATTGAGTGCAGCGTTTTCAACTCACACTCTTGCTGTGTGGAATTTTCCCTGTTTTCCAATGCATTTCCTCTGCCGTCGGCGTTGGCGATAAGGGGAAGTGTTTGGCATTTTATCGATATTGATTTATAATTTATTGCTCCTGATTTCGTAATGATGATTTCACTGACCATTTCTTGAATTCTTTTCTAATTAAATGGGAATTAATGATATTCTTATTGGGCGACTTAATGTAGTGAAATCATCCATTTATTGTTTGTGCTTTCGCTCTGCCATCGGAGATTTATTGATTTTTTGTGGGGTATTAATTTCCTGTGGGCAGAAACACATTATCACTGAGGGAACAATTAATCCACGTGAATGTTAATTACCAATGCCCTTGTCAATACGATGTGTACTAATGAAGGGACATGTTGGCGTTGTTGTTGTTCCTCTGCAGGATGTGAAATTGGGTTGCCCTGAAGGGCCGCAGGTGTCTCTGGACATGGACGAGAGCCTCGGCTTGAGTGGTCAACAGATCTCGAGTGCCCTGTCAAGTTCACCACCGCAGAGTGGCCGCATGTCACCGCCGGTGCCAACAACGCCGGCCACACCATCGCAGCAGCAGGAGAAGGCGGAGAAGTTGGAAAAACTGGAGAAGATGCAGCAGATGCAAGCGCAGCAGCCTGAGTCGTATGAGTTGCAGATTGACTATTGGCCAGTCGCCGCGCGATACACAGACAATAAGGAGAAGAAGGAGGACAAGAAGGGAACTGATCAGGGCAAAAACAGTATTAAGAGCACTTTTAGGAATTTGCAGGTGAGAAATTTCGTGTCTTTAATCTGCACTGGCATCAACTCCTATATATATAAAATGTGCCAGACGGAATATTTATGTGGTGATAAAATGTGTTACTAATGACGCAATGATTTCCCTCATTCTCTCACATGCTCGCTGAAAAAGGTTTGGCGACTCCCTCCGAATCCTCAGGCCGGTGAACTTCTATATGGGCTGACGCTGAGCTATTCCACGAAGGAGAAGAAGCAAAAAAGTGCGTATAACATGAGAAATCACTCAATTATTCACCCCCCCCCCCCCAACCAACCACAACAATTCAAGTGAGTGGTTGTAAGCTTTCCTTTCTCACATTGTCTCTCGTCTCTCCCGCAATATCTGATTATGTAGTAATGCGCTTGGGGAAGAAGAAGGAGAAGGATCGTGATATGGAGAAGGAGCAGAGTGTTGATGGCATCGCGCGGCTCATCTGCTCGCCGAAACCATCGCATCCAGTGCCGCTGCGTGTGTACATTGACGGCACTGAGTGGACAGGTGTGAAGTTCTTCCAGCTCTCCTCGCTGTGGCAGACGCACGTGAAGAACTTCCCCGTGGGATTGATTGGTGCTCCGCTGGCTCCGGCCGAAACCTAGTCATCTTGCGCGCTTTTCCTCCTCAACGCGCTTAAGCAATTCAGCGGCTTTGGCAGGTCAACTACAATGTGACGTTGAGTTGACGACATGAGGAGCCTTTTAAATTTGTAATATACGATATATTTTAAATAATTGTGATTTTAGTAGGATTCAGAGAGTTGCAAATTGTTCATGTGTGTGAGAGAGAGAGAGAGAGAGAGAGAGAGAGATAGAGAAAGTCATGATTTTCATGCGATGCTGGCGTATAAATTGTATCTATCAGTGAAGTGACATATCTAAAATCATTCTTTCAATGTATAATTTGTTTGTGGATCAAGAAAAGAAGAGACGCTGGAGTTTACGAAGGAAAACCAACTTCTCGGCTGTGGTTTCTTTATGGATGGAAGATTTTTTTTTGGCAGAAATCGAGCAATTGCGCTCAGGAATTGGAAAATGGGAATCAATGTGCAGTGAAGAAGAAGAAGAAAAGAGGAAAGAATTTATTGAAGTTGTAATTGAATCACGGAACAATAATTAATATTTAATTGAGATGTGAAAAAGGACAATTTGAAAGTTGAATTGAGAAATTTATTATATTGAAAAGAGGAATAAATGGAATTGCAACGAAATATATTTTAAAAGTGCTTTGCAAACATGAAGTAAAGAGGAAAGCACTTTTAAAGGAATTACAGTTGGTAATAATATTACCATGAGAGTCAATAAAGTAAAGTAAAAAAATGGTATAAAATTGAATATTACAAATTTGGGATAGTAAATAAAATGAATAGAATGATAAATAATATCAAAAGAAATAAAAAGACATTAATGCAGGTTTATTAAAGAAATAAAAATTGAGTGTTGTATTCTATTGTGGAGATTAAGGGAGATAAAAAAATAGCTGTGTTTACTATTGAAGATGTGTGTAGAAGAAATCCTAGACGTGTAGTTTTCCTCACCCAGTTGATCAAAGAGGATTAGAAATATATATATATATATATATATATATCATCTCTTGCTCATTTTATGTTTAAACGTTTTCTTGTGACGATTCAGGAGAAGTGAGAACAGGAGTTTATATCTTACGAGTATATCTAGTTGCATGTGTAAACTTTTTCCCTCGGCACGCAAGGGCGCGTCACTTTTGGGGGCGTGTTTTTTGGCGCGTGTGCGAGAAGAGCCCAACAATATTTAATCCCTTCTATTGTGAGAAATGAAATTGTAATTATATATTGATTGTATTTGTATTCTACAGGACAGGAAACAGTATATCACCTACTACTTAATGTTTCTGGAGATGGTCTCTTGTGCGAGACGAGAGAAGGTAGAAGTTTTGTGTAAACTGCAATTCACTGAAATACTCAACTGCTCTTACAAGAATAACTATATTATCTTATAAAAGTATAACCATTAACTCTCTCTCTACGCGCCTTTATCAGCGATAAAGGGATATTTACACTCTAGCGAAGAGAATATTTAATCAAAAAAAAAGAAGAGAAGCATAAACAGAAGCAAATATGATGAAAATGAAAACCATAAAACCATTAACAGAATTTTCCTCTTCTCTCAAATGTTGTGAGAAATTGTGCAGAAAAATCTGCCTCGCGATGATTTTCTTTTTGTAGTTTATAACTTTGTATGAGAAAAAAGTCGCCAGATGGATTTGATTTTGCAGTTGAACACACTGCAGAATTTCCTTTGAACATCACTTAACTGCCGCAATGTTGTTGTTTACTCTCTTTTGCCACAAACCCTATTTTTTCCCCCATTTCACACCCGTTTGCACACTTTTCACAACGCGAAATTCTTCTGTGACTGAGTTACAAATTTCGCGCTATTGAAGCAAAAAACAGAGTTTTAGAAAAAAAGAAAGATCCTTGGTTGTGACTTTTTACGAGAAATGCAATTGACGTGGAGAATAAGAGGAAGAGAAAATTAAAAACATTACCCTAATAATAAAAGAAAAATTTTGTAGCAAAAGTAATATATACGTAATTTTAAAGGATATTTCAGTAGTGAAAAATTAAACCTCAATAATCACACCAACACACAAGTAATCAATTACATAAATAATTATTGTTCAAAATACCGACAAGAGGAAAACGATGAATTTGTCATGAAGAATAAAATATCAAAGATATTGAAAAAAAACTTCACAGTTAAATTGACCTAAGAAAAAGGTGAAAAAAAGAGATCATTAATGATAAAAAAAGAATGCTTGACTGTACTGTAAATGTGATTAAAACATTTAAAAGAAAATCAGCAGACTTTTCCTGTAATGATTTTCCCTTTATTCGCCTCAAACTCAATAAGTTATTCAACAGGGAACATAATATAAAATCTGCACAGAACAACAAAGTAATTCACAGTCAGTGGAAAATGAATTTATCTCCGGAGAAACCGTCGGAAATGACTATCGATCGTCGGCAGAGTCCGTTGGGTCCGGCGATTCCGCCCTCTGGCAGGATAAAGTTCGCCTCTGGATGCTGCTTGGGCTGGGCGAATTCGGTGAGATTCGCATTGCTCTCCGCGAGGGCAGACAGTGGCCAGATGCCCAGCAGGCGAGACTTTCCCTGACGCGCTATCACATAAAACTGGGAGGAAAAGGAATTGATTACAACGATTGAACACGCTTCACGGAAGGAAATCTCCTCACCTGTCCATCGTTATCTATCAAGTATCCAGTTATGAGGGCCCAGTGAGCCTTGTGACCCTTCTTGAGGCAGGGAGAGTGGTTGACATCGGAGTCATAGGGCACAATCAGACAGACTCCGCGCTTGAGAGCCTCCCGGATTTCATCACAGTTCAGATCACCCACGAACAGGTGGCACGAGCCGGAAAACTGCACCTGACTCTGCAGGATGTCCATGAGATTGGCGGCGCTGAACATCTCACCCAGCGCCGTGAATCCCTTCGCCTTGGCCTCCTGGAAGATCTGGTCAGCTGTGCGGACGCCGCCAAGGAGCATACTGATGGTCACGAAGCCACAAGTGGGTCCCTCCTGCAGAATGGGCGCCACACGGTGGAAGACACATTCCCGCGGGGCTCTGTGCTGACACACGCGCGCCAGGAAGCAGGACTTCTGCACTTCCGGGTCGGCAGACGCCCACAAACACTCCGGCAAGGCGACAGTGTGTTTGGGACTCACGCAGTTGCGGAAAGCGGTGACAGCGGCGAAATCAGGTGCAGGCGGAGGAATGGGAATGATCTCGTGAGACATGGAGAGCGAGGATGAGGAGGTGAAGCCTAAGAAAGCCTGGGAAGATAACTGGGTCAGTACACCAAGGTATTTGACATTCTCTCTCACGGCTATTTTTATCTCTCTCTCTCTCTCTCAATTTTCATTCCACGTTCCACATTCATTACGAATGTCTTACAAAATTTGTATTAGTTGAGACATGCCGTCGATATATCGGAGAGCTTGGAGAGTCTTCGCTAATAGGATTTGAATGTGAACGACGCGATATTCAATGCTGTACGCTAATTTTCTTCGACTTTTCTTTGAGAATTAAATTCTCCTTGCCCAGCAAAAAAACCCTTCGGCCATCTACTTATTATACTATCTATATTGGAGTGTTTTTTTTTTGAGTGGTTCTCCTCGTGTCGATATTGATTTCTCTTCAGTGGGGAAATGTAATTGGAAATCTTCACATGTCGTCACTCAAGCTCATCCTGACAATATCAAAGGCTATTCTCTGCCTTGCTTCATTTGTGGCATCCCTTCTGGCCACCAAAAACCCCGACTATTTGTCTGAACCCGGAGAGGAGGAAGAAAATCCCTCTTATCGCAGCGTGTTCGTCGTGTTTCGTGAAGGTGAAAGAGTGGAATTTAAAGAAGTCGAAACATTAAATCAGATAGAGATGATGGGAAACTCAATAAGGGCTCCGGGGCGGCATTAGCAATACTTGGACTGTGTGTGTTGACAGGGAAAGAGTGAACATATTGACGAGACGACAGCCAATCTCGGCAGAATCAATTCGTATTCATGCGGGGGCGGAAATGAAAATTACCGTGGGTATGATTTTAAGCGGACAAATCGGGCGGAAAGCTCCGCAGTCGATCTCAGGCTGGGAAATAATTTAAGAGGAAATACAGTGAAACTGCTGCCTTTTTCACTTCCTGTGCTCTCTCTCTTCTCATTTTTCACACTCTCCCACAATATTTCCCTTCTTCGTTTTCCCAATATTTCAACATTCTTTATTTCCCGTCTTACATAGAGAAATTCCCAAGCCGATACAAATGGTCTCGAGATGTTTCACTTTCTTCCTTCCCAAGAGTCGTCAACTTAATATTCCTCGTGTAATCCGAGGCACAATTGTTGGACGGCAATGTTGCCGCCGACAATTTTCGTTGAAAATGATCATAATGTCGATTTGGGGGGGTTAGAATTTCATTAGGAAGTGATTTTAATGATTAAAATTCCCATGGAGAAATTATCATTTGAATTTTTCATTCATCCTCAATCATTTCCCTCCTTTCCATCAACCATTGAAGAATGTCGGCAATCGCTCTCCTTGTTTACAGCAGAATTGCTGGCAATCTCTTACTCCCTCTCAGTCACTCCCTCCAACCCTTATTCTCCGCTGCCCGCGCGTTCGCCGACAGATTTTCCATCCTTTTTGCTCTCGTCTGCAAAGTCATCATGTGAAATTTCCAGGATCAAAATCATCTCCGGCAAATGTTTGGCCCTTTTGCATGCGGTGGTGTTTTTTTTATACGTTTCTTCTGCGCCACTGAAAGCCTCGGAATTGTGGTGTGAGGTGGTAAAATTTGATTGATATCTCACGCTTTCTGGGGAAGCCTCGCCCCTCCGCCCCCACTGTGCCGAAGGATTGAAGGGATGGGAGGCCAAAGTGAAAATAAAAAGAATTAGAGGTACATGAATTTCAAAGGATTTCCCTTGGAAATTTTATGCCAATGAGGTTGAGGCGCTCGACTGAGTTGACAGTATATTTAATGGCATCCCGAACAATAATGAATAATTTGATTGAGGCTTGAATATGAGGCACAACATTTTTCCCTGGGCTTGAGATTGAGATAAAGTGCCTACGAGAGTATCATATTTATTGAATCTCATTTGAAATTTGAATCCTATTCATTATTCTCCCTTTCTTCTGCCATTTCTGACTCTCTCCTTCATGATTTTGCTTCGCGAGCAAAAATACGACTGAGAAACTTTAAGTGAAACTTCACCGAATCCCTGTTTAAACCCGGAAATCTATATATGCTGAGTACTTAAAGAGCTTTACTGGCGTATCCGTGTGAAGTTTGTCATTGAAACAAGTCTCACATAACACATTTTGCTAACTTTTAACTCGTCTATTTGTAAAGATTTCCCGGCTCATCGTAATCCCTTTTTGTATCTCTCCAAAACCGGGTCGTTGGATACACAGGAAAAAGTATGATGTATGGAGATTGAGTGTCGATATTCTGGGTTTGTTTTGGGTTTATATCCCCAAAAATACAGAGGGAAAGGGTTTTGACGAAAGTTGGGCAAATGGCAAGAAATGGAATCCTTCACACTCATAAAATAACCCCAAGAATTCTTCACAGTTTGTCGACGAAAAAGTTAACAGAATAAATATTTGCAGCAACACCGCAAATATTCGAGAAATGTCAATATTAACGAGGAGATTTTGGAAATTAGACAATACAGATATCACATGATTATGAGCAACTGAAGGAAATAATTTATCAACGGGTGATTCGAAAACTATGGAAAGGCAAAATTATCACATTTGAAGAGAGAAAGTTGTCGAAATATACTTCAAAACCCCTTCAAATCGATCATAAAAGACAAATAAAGTGTTAATATTGCGCTGTAATAATTATTTTGTGAATTTTCCTGTTGATTTCATTGGTATTTATGGGAATTTTTGACAGAAATCTGGGACAAACTAAAAATATTACTTCAAAAAAGTCTACTTTTAATAGTCTTTGAGGATATTTTATCCGAAATCAACTTTTCAGGAAGATCTCGTAAATCTAGAATTAATACATTTCTCACAGAGCTTTTTCACTGCAATTTGAGACAATTTTCTTGGGAAAAAGTCGCACTTTTCACAGTTTCCGATTCACCCTTTGATATGCGAAGTTCTATTCTGTCATTTGATGAAGCATGATAATTTCCACGGGCGCACAAATGAGACATCGAAATGCTCTTATTTAGCCTTCCTCATTTTCCCAACACGATGATTCCTCGGGAGCCTGGGAAGGAGAGTTATTGCTCGTGTGTGTGTGGGCGGAGGAGTCAACTGCGGGGCTTGTATTCTGACACAGGATCTCAATCACGACCCATCTTCCCTCGGCGACCGCATTTGAATTAGGGTGATAAAGTTGTCTCTGCGGCTGTTTGGGGAAATACAGCAATTTGTAAAATAAAACACACTCCCCGGGGAGCGGAGCATGTTGAATGGGCATGATTTTGGCGTGTATGTGGAGAGGCATTGAAGAATTCGCTCTGCTCCTTTCACACCTTTGTTCGAACTGTCACAGACGCTCATAAATAAAGTATGCATTCATCCTTATTTCATCCCAACGCTGTATTCTTGTGGTGTGAATTTATCGTTTTCCAAAGACACTCTTGATATATGTACATTTTCGAAGAATTACATACATTGGGGGATGTTTTATGACTAACCAGAAATGTGAAGAAATATCCTAAAAATAGTATCAAATGGCTGTCGGAAGTCTTATGTGCCAAATGTGTCTGTATTTCTTATCCACCTCGTAAGCTTTATCTCATGGAGAAGAAAAGTTAAGAAGACATTCCGTGGATTCCATAAACACAAGAGCGTGTGTGCATTTTAACGAGCACACTTCAGTTCTTGTGATTGAAAACTTGATAAGCGAAAATCATCCTTAATTTGACTGGTGGAATCATTTGCACTTTAGAAAGCCAATTAGATTTATTGGCACATTTCAGTCAAATCTTCACGAAAATTTGATTTGTTGATTTTCTACACAGAAAATACGGATCGAAATCCATAATTTCACTCTTTTAATCTTAATCAGGACAAAAATCATGTTAATACAATATCAATGAATAAAAGAACAACTCATTTGAGCTGAAAGAGTAAAAATCAATGATAAGACAGGGTTATGAATATAAATAAAAATTCATCCTTTATGGTAATAAGAGAGCGAAGCATTTGAGGAATTATTAATTCAATTACATCTTTGAATTGAATCATGAGTGGGTTGATATTCAGGATTAAAACAAGAAAATCAATATCCCAGGGTTGAAGAAAGAGTTCAGAGACATCGAGTGAATTTACAGGTATTAGAGCACAAGAACTTGAGACGAGACGCATAAATCTGAAGCAAATCTCGAGCCAACAATCTTATTTGCCATTTTCAAGGTGTTGATTTATAAAATTGACCGACTTATGTACAGATTTTGCAATTTCTTTCTTCGCCTCAACCTCGAAATGTGGGTGCAGAAGTGCCTCAAGTGAGAGTGGCAAATCTCATCAGCAGCTGGTGATGTCTCGGCGCAAAGCTCTGCAGACGCGCTGAAGAGGTTGAGCAACTCGTGAATCATGCTCCAGACTGGACCAGTGGGATTTTCCTAATCTCGCCCATTCGGAGAAAGGTATGATGGCTCTTCGCTTTGCGTACATCTACGAATTGCTGGCGTGTCGAGTGCGTCGCGACAATGTGTGCCTATTTCACCTTTGGCCGCCCAATTTGTGGGTGGGTGTGGCGTTCAGAAGATGGTGTGATGAAATAACACGCTATAAAATTAATTTTTGGGTGATTTGCCTCTGAATTTATGGGTGTTCCGCACGACAAATAAATTCACCGAGTGTGTCATATGTGATTCTGTGGGAAATTAAGACGCCTTTTACGACGCCTGTGTCTCAGATGTAATCCGAATGTGGCTGAAGACACACGGTGGCACCCTTGATCCGCCGCCACTGCGAGAGATGCACAATAAAGGGCGAATGAGGGAGGAATTAAATATTTTAGTGTGTTTGTGGGAGCGCCTCGGCCGTTTTGCGGCGCAGAGAGACTCCTTGTTTATGATCCCCGGAGATCTCGAGAGCCATTCTATCAAAATTGAATATATCAGGCTTCATGACACATTCGAGAGGATACGACGCAAGACACTCTCAGGCTGAGATGGTAGAAGTCAAGCCATTAGGCGGAATAGAGATGTGCGTTGAGTGTGGAAAATGGAGAAGGTCAAAATTAAGAGATTGCTATCAAAAGTAATGGAGTTGTGTTTGATTATTGAATTTTTTCTCCCCACCGGAGGACTCACATGTCGAGGATAT